TGCGTCATCCAAAAACGCCGGCCAAGAATGGCATAGCCAATCATAGTGGTCTCACACCGTTGACATTGGCTTGCAAACTCGGACGCGCTGAGGTCTTTCGTGAGATGTTGGAGCTATCGGCGCGTGAGTTCTGGCGTTACAGCAACATTACCTGCTCTGGCTATCCGCTCAACGCCTTGGATACTTTGTTGCCAGATGGACGCACAAGTGAGTGCATAACGCAATATTTATCTACTCACTTTAAAGGTACAAATTTTGATTCTTGTCCTAACAGACTGGAACTCTGCTCTCTTCATCATATTGAATGGCACCAAGGAGGAGCATTTGGACATGCTGGACGGTGGTATCATTCAACGTTTGCTAGAAGAGAAATGGAAGACTTTCGCTCAAAATCAGTTTCTAAAACGTCTGCTAATCCTGACAATACATTTGGTTTGCCTATCTGTTTCGGTTTACATGCGTCCTGCTCATGTAGCGGACGATGACGAGGATGAGACAGCGCTTACGAACGGTGCTTCTAAGGGCTCAAAAGCAGTTGAGCTCGCTGAGGAGACGGAAGATGAGGAGTACGATGTGCAGACTATTGCGCGCTATTGTGCTGAGTTTGCAACCATTGTCGGCGTATTGAGCTACGTCGTTTTCCAGCAAGGGGATGAGATTAAAAACCAAGGACTTCCGGCTTTTCTTAAACAATTGGTAGGCTGAACTTGCGGAAAATTTTTTCTTTTTTTGCCACTATTATTTACACTCTGTTTCGCCATATCCATTCTCCATCTTTTCAGACCCATGCTCCGGCCAAGGCCATTTTTCTAGTATCAAATCTGTTAATATTGGCATGCATACCTTGTCGTCTGATGGGCGATACGGACACGGAGGAGGCTATACTCATATTTGCTGTACCAGGTAGCTGGTTTTTGCTCATGTTTTTTGCTGGGTGAGCTTGTGGCCTTACCAATAAATTTTATTTTTTATTTTCTAATTTTGGTTATCCTTTTAGAGCCATTCGTCTCACTGGCCCATTTGTTACAATGATCTATTCCATGATTACGGGAGATATGTTCACTTTTGGCATTATCTACTCCATTGTACTCTGTGGCTTTTCACAAGCATTCTACTTTCTTTACAAGGGTCATCCGCAGATTCAATCGACTATGTTCAACACCTTTCCGAGTACTTGGATGGCTTTATTTCAAACAACACTTGGTGATTATAATGTAAGCTTGTTGTGATATCGATTGGTGCGTCCATATTTCTTAAGGGGTAACACTACTATAGCGGCCGGAAAAAATGCCTAAATTGTATAGAGTTTCTAATTAAAAGGGAGTAATGAAGTATAAAAAACATTGCATTAGCGATTACATACAAAATGGAGGCTATACAGCCAATTTATTGCCTTGCATTTTCAGTACCAAAACGGGCGAACACATATCCCACATATCGAACAAGAGTGTAATAATTCAAAAAAAAAAAGTAGACCCACGAAGGATTCAGTATCTAAATTGTAATTTTTGACTACATTTTTGTCTAAAGTGCCAAAATTTGTTTACGTATTTCGACATTCTGAATTCCAAAATCGTATCTTGGCTCTCGGTATGGATAAAATTTGTGTTAACCCAGCAGAAAACCTGTAATTGCCTCTTTGCGTAGATACGCAAATTTTTGGATTAGCTCACGACTAGGTTAAGGTCGTTTCGAGATCATTTCGGGACCTGTTGTGCACTATTTCAGGCCCATTTCGGGCCTAGTTCACGCCTAAATATTTGAGAAATATTTAAGCATTAGTTCTGGACCATTTCGAACCTAGTTCAGGACTATTTCTGGACTATTTAAGTATCATTTTGGTACTAGTTCGAGATTTTGAGATTAATCCTTATTAGTCTCCCGCTTTGGGACCATTTCAAGATCTTTTCGAGAAAAATTTCGTACAAGTTTCGCGGCCTGTTCAGGGGTATCTAAGGGCTGGCTCGGCATAATTTCCAGTTAAAATCCATTTGAAACTAGATCAAGACTTTTGCAGGACTATTTAGGGTTCGTTTCGGAAATAGTTCAGGATTATTTCGGTACTAGCTTAGGAGCATTTCGGGTATAGTTTGGAATCATTTTGGGACTAGTAAGGTCCCACTTTGAGACCGTTTTAAGTCTTGTTCGAAATCATTTCGGGACAAGTTCACGACTTTTTTTTAGAACCACTTCAGGACTACTTCAGGGAAATTTTGAGACTAGTTCGGGGTAGAACTTTTTTGACTTAAAGCAGTGAACTTTTTAAAATTTCTAAGTACCTATTTTTGCCGTTCTTCCGTCAAAGAAACCATTTCCATGGTCGCAGAAACAAAAAAAAACCGCATTTGAAACTGTTTTGGTTCAGAAACAGAAAACAATTCCAAAACCTTACTTTTGAAGCACGGTTTTGAGTTGAAGGTAATTTTTCATTCCATCATTTTTGACATTTGTATGTTTTTTGGGGGGACATGGCTGGAAAAAAGTGTCGAACCACCCTAATGTGCATATATATGTAAAATAAAGTTATTTTTACTTGACGCAAGAGTCTGCATTATACTTGGAAATAGTTCTTTTGCAACGAACTTAAAAGCAACTGGAAATGTACGTAGCTAAATTTTATTGTGCCGCGATATCTAAGGTCTCCTTATTGCTAAATATTTCGAAAAAAACATTTACGTACTCACCTACTATGTATGGCTTGAATATTCTAATTTTCATTTGGTTTTTCAATCATACAGTATCCGGATTTGAATAACACAACCTATCCGAATTTATCGAAGACGGTATTTGTAATTTTTATGATATTTGTGCCGATACTCTTGTTAAATATGTTAATCGCCATGATGGGTAATACTTATGCACAAGTTATTGAACGATCCGAGAAGGAGTGGATGAAGCAGGTAAAAATTAAATTTTCAAAACAATTAAAACCTTAATGAAACTTAAGGTCACACCTTTTAGTGGGCAAAAATCGTGGTCACATTGGAACGCGCAGTGCCACAAGCCGACGCTAAAAATTATCTTGAAGCTTACTCAATACCACTGGGGCCGATCGATGACTCCGGCTATGAGGTGCGTGGCGTAATGGTCATCAAAAGTAAGGCGAAGACAAGAGCTAAGCAACGCAAGGGAGCCGTATCTAATTGGAAAGTATGGAACTCAAATAACTAGCGTCTCAAATATTTCATAACACTAAAATATTTCACTCCACCAGCGCGTTGGGCGCGTAACGC